TAGCTGAAGCACAGTCAGTGACAATGTGTCTGTTACTGGTGCCCAGCACAGCGTCCCAGGCAAGCGTATACACACACATGACGTGGCTTCTTGGAGGAAGTCAGACACAGCGTGAGTCCTGAGTGATTCCACTTTAAGTTAAAAAAAAAAAGACAAAATGGAGAGCAGGATGGCAGCTCTTCAAAACATCAAGCAGAGAATTACCACGTGATCCACTTCTGGGGATTTGCCCCAAAAGAATGAAAGCCGGGTTGTGAAGAGACAGTTGCACACCCGGGTTCATAACAGCATTATTCACAGCTACCAAAAGGTGGAAACAACCCAGACGTTCACGGCTTGGGGAACGGGCAAACCAGATGTGGTCCATGCAGTGGACTGTCACCCAGCCTCAGAGAGGGACAGGCTGCAGCGTGGACGAACCCTGAGGACACCACGCTCAGTGACATAGGCCAGTCCCGAAAGGACGAAGAGCGTATGCCTCCACTTACAGGAGGTCCCTAGAGGAGTCAGATCCTTGGACAGGAAGCAGACGGTGGGGACGGGGGCCGGCGGAGGGAGACTGGAGGCTTCACCAAAGCCTGAGGCTCCGGGGGCGCGGGCGGGCCAGGCGGCTCCCGCAGTGGGGCGACCTCAGTGGTGCAGACCCAACAGCAGGGAAGAGGGAGGCTCCCGCCCGCGCTGCGCCCCCTGGGCTGTCTCACCGGGAAGAAACAGACAAGGGATTTCCCAGGTGACAGACAACGTGAGACCAGCCCGGGGACGTGATCGACACCACAGCAGCAGGTCCAAGTCGGGACGCAGAGCCGCAGACCCAGGCAGGGGGATGGAGCCCGAGGCGAGGAGAGTGTGGCGAGGTCGTGGGACCCAGGGCGTCCTGAGGGTGCTGCCCTGCCAGTACAACAAAGAGCAGGTTGTGGGGAGAAGCTCTGCACAGAGCGGGAGAGCCTCCCCAGGGAGCTGGCTGACTCGGGCCAAGACAGAAGGAAAGGGAGCAGGGAGCTGGGGGCCGGCGGTGGGACGCGGGGGCCGGCGGCCCTGAAGAGACAGCCAGGCTTTGCTGCAAATGGCAGGGGGACGTGGAAGCTGTGCCTCCCTGGGCCCGAGCAACCCATCCACCTGCTGTCCCCCCGACTCAGGGCACAGCTGGGGCGGGGGGCAGTTAATCTGAGACCTCTGCTCCTCCCTGGAGATGCCGGCTGCCGGGGGGCCCCTGAAGGATCCTGCCAGGCACCCAGGAAGTGCGCGCAGCAGACACACGCCCTCTCCTGGGGGTCTGCAGAAGCCAGGGCTCAGCCAGGGCGGCCGCCCTCTCCGCACCCAGGGCGGCACTGCCCACAGGGGCCGCGTAAATGACATGAAAGAAGAACACAGGTAGGAAACACAGCGACCCCACACCTGGCGGGTGCTGAGGGTGGCCTGGGCAGCATCCAGCTCTATGTGCGAGCCTGTCCAGGCCCACTGCCCGTGGGGTGCCAGGAGAAGCGGGTGTCCAGCAGGCCTGTTCTCATCTAATTCCTGACCTTCTCTCTCCGTGGCCACGGGAAAGGCGGCCAGGCAAGGGTGACCTTGAGCGGACACAGCCCGGAGGACTGAGCATCCCAGGAATAAAGCCACGGCCACCTTGGCAGACCTAGGACAGGAGGACAGACGTCCCCAGTGGACCTGACCCTGGGGGGCTGTCCCTGGTCCCCTCATCACTGAGGCGCCCATGCTTCTTGCTTCCGTCTGGCTTGGCTGCCGGTCACAGGCCCCAGGCCCCTTGCTCCAGCCTGTGGGGTCAGGCAAGCTTGCACCCTACCCCCTGCCTGTTCACGGCCAAGGCTGCCAGACCACTGCCCGCTGGGTCCGTCTGGCCACTGACCCCGCAGCCACCCAGGGAGCCGGAGGGGTTGATGGGCCCCCTTCAAGGCCAGCCAAGAAGGTGACCCAGGGCACTTGCTGCAGCCCCAGCCCGGGCGCCCTCCCCAGCCCGGCCCGCCTAGGGTGCCTGGTGGCCCCACACGAGACTGGAGAGTTTCCCAAAGCAAGAGTTACGACTTGTCAAACGTTTCCACTCCGGCTGCTGATGGCAGGTCCCTGCGCAACCAGGCGACCTGGCGTGACCTCTGCTTCCTGAGAGCAGGGTGTGGGCGCTGAGTAACTCTGGGATCGTGGTGCCCCAGGAAGTGGCCCTGATGTGAGTGTGCCAAGGCCACTGGTCACAGGCCTAAGCGACGAGTGGAGCCCAGCCCCTCCCTGGAAAGGCCCTCCACCCAGGGAAACGCGCACTCAAGGTCTGCTGGCCTTGCGGGGGGACCCCCGCCACACAGACCGGCCTTCTTGCCCAAGCCGCCCGGAACCCGCCTCCCCTGATGTGCAGGGTGGGGTGTGGGACCTCCCCGTAGGCCCCAAGAGCCTCGGTGTGGTCCAGCCGTGCAGCTCATGGAAGAGGCTTCCGGCCAGGCCACCCTGCCCGGGAGCCCAAGGCAGGGCCCCCACTTCTGGATGGAGACCAGCATCTCCCTGGGCCCCAGCTGGTGAGCTGAGCCCCCCTCTGCCAAGGAGGGGTCAGTGAGGTGTCCACTCTCGGCCCAGTGTGCTGGGGCCCTGGTGGCAAAGGCCACTGGCTTCCCTGGGCTGTGTGGCCGCACCACATCCATCACGCACACACAGAGACATGCACACTCTCCCGCTCACCCGCCCTCTGGGGCAGAGATGCTCGCAGCACCAGCCGCCCTTCCGAAGTTGCCGCTAGGTGGTGCATGGACACCTTCAGGTTTTGTTTTTTAAACTTGTGTGTGTCCGGAGGAGCACAGCCCGTTTTGTAATTTTGCATGAAGCAAGTGAAATTAATTTAATCTTTTGATTTAACCCCAAATAGCCAAAAATGATCATTTTGACATATAACCCACGTGAGGAATTCTTAATGAGATAATTTCGCTTTCCTTTTTCCTTCTGAGTTTTCAAAGTCCCATGTGTTTTATACTCACAGCACATCTAAATTCAGACCTTAAATTGTTGCTTATACTTAAATTTCACAAAATTTATAGCCAGAAAATGATCCTCACGTACCTAAATTGTTTTAACTACATTTGAAAGTTTCCAGTAACTGCATCATGTATCGAGTTTATATTTTAAAATTTAACTTAGAGGCGGATTAAAGGGCTCTGTGGCTGCTGCAAGGGACTGGGTTTCAGAGGCCTGTCTCCAGCACCCCCACCCGCAGGCAGCCCACATGGATTAACAGCCATGCGATGATGGTGTCAGTGTTCTGAGGAACAAGCAAGGTGGGACAGACTCCCAGCCGACACAGCAGAAAAGCCACAGTGACCAGGAGCCAGTGTTGTGAGCCCTGGGGGCCAGCAACACCTTGCAGAAGGGCCAGCAGCCGAGACTCGGGTGAGGACAGCCAGGCGGAGGGGTTGAAGGCCCTGGGAGCAAGCACAAGGACGGAGGGCGGACAGGAAGGTGACCAGTGGAGGGAGGGTGCCTGAACAGCAGCTGAGCGGCTGGCAGGAGAGGGGCCCCAGCAGTCCCACGGCCTAATCCCGAGATCTTCGAATACGTCACCTCACCCGGCAAAGGGGCGTCAACCATGGGATGGGAGATCCTCCTGGCGGTCTGGGCGGCCCACTAGCCTCCAGGGTCCCAAGAGGAGGGAGGTGGGAGGGTCAGAGCCAGAGGAGATGGCGTCAGGGTGACAGAGGAAAGGGCTGTGAGCTGGAACCAGTGAGGAAAGCTCCGCCCCACCGACGCCGGATCCCAGGGAGCCCTGAGACTCTGGCCGCAGGACTGAGGGCTGTGTGCTGCCCTGGCCCCGGGCTCAGGGCTGTCATGGCAGCAGGAGACCCACACTGCCTCCCAGGAGAGGAGCAGGTGCCCCCAGCACTGGGGGGCCACTGGGAGCCAAGGAGGCGAGAAAGTGACACCGTCTGATCCATGCTTTTTACATACGAGCGTGGGGTGGGGTGGTGGCCCCAGGGCCAGCCTGGTGGACGGCTCACACTGCTCTGGGCAACTTGGGGCAGTGCTTCTCCAACAGCCCCACTGGTTCCCCCCACCGCCCAGATGCACGGACAGGTCCACAGTGCAGCCTGCACGGCGGCCTCGTGGGCCCTGGGTCGCGGAGGAGCCGGATGCCGTCACATGGGAGGACAGACATGCCCGACGCACCCTGTCGACAGGCTGACTCCTCGTGTCAGACTTGGCCCCGAGCTCCCTCACTCGGGAAGCCCCGTCGGGCTGGTCCGGTTAACCCTGGGTTCCCCCAGGCAAGCGTCCTGTGGTTCTGGACGGACTGAGCTGTGCCAGGCTTACTCCCAGGGGCTCCTCCTCTGGACATTTAGGGGCCTTCCCTGGGACTGGCTGTGTTAAACCGTGTGTGCTGGTGTGACACCCACGCAGGCGGGACAAACACCCCAACCAGCGACAGAGGGGCTTAGCGGGGAGTCACGTCCCCTCCTCCGTCAGAGAGGAGAAAGAGGGGAGACAGCAATACTCAGGTCCGGGCACTCACGTGTCGGTGGGGGCTCGGCGGGCTCTGAGCTCGCCCCCCCCCCCCGGGACCTGCAGCCTTACGCAGGCTGCTGGGCAATTATGTGTTCTGCTCTAATGATCTAACTGGCGGTGTTTAGCTGACTTCCAGGTGCTTTGGAAGGGAGTTTACCCAGGAAGGGGTGGGGAGGGATGGGGCCCTGTGCACAAGCCAGTCCTTTCAGGCAGCCTCTGGAGTTTGCCGTGCTTTCTGGAAGCCGTCCGTGTAACTCTGAAGTCTTAGATTGGAGTCTGCACCTGTCACCAGGCTGTTTCTCCTCTGACACAACCTGGCTGCATCCGCGAGGACAGCCCGGGACACAGCCGTCCTGCTGCCAGACAATCGGGGAAGCCGTTCTAACAAAGGCTGCCAGGAGCCGCTGTTTCTTCTCTCAGGCTGAGACCAGTCGGGAAATTTCTCTGTCGATCTGCCCCAGGGCAGAAACTTCCCTCGCTTCCTGGCCTGGTAATTTTCCAGAGCTAGAAACTTTCCTCTCCAGGGGCAGGAAGGACATTCAGCCACCCACAACTCAACCAGAAACATTTCTGACCAACCACAAGTCATAACCGCCCGAGCGGGGCTGGGACGTGACTCAGCAGCACAGAGGAAGCAGGAAGGGGGCGGGGCAGGCCGCCTCGGGGACAGGGGTGGGGGGGACACCGCTGCCTTGCCAGGAGCCACCGCAGCAGGGTTCCTCTAGAGCCGGGCCGGGGAGGGGCTGGGCGGTCTGGCCGTGCCCCACCTTTCAGACCACGGCGCCCCGGCCCACGTGAGCAGCACTGATGGGTACGGAACGTTCTGGGGAAGGAGGCTCAAGCAGGCAGACTCAGGATCAGAGCCGAAGGTGGGAGAGGGGGCCACAGAGATAACTGGCTCCTGTCCCCTTTGGTGGGGCATCAGGGGAAGGCAGGAGTGTCCTCGGAGGCAGGCTCCACTCACCCACTGTGCAGGCCGGCAGGGGCTGTGTGGCTGAGCACTGTTCAGCTCCCCCGCGATGAACCCTGAGCCAGACTGAAACAAAAAAGAAGCCACGTGTTAGGCTGAACCTCTGCCCAGAAGTCCATCTCCACCCGTAGGGCACGTGGCAGGATGTCACCTTCCCACGTCAGGGGTGGAGGGCCCCCGGGAAAAGTGAGGTTTGAGTGGGAACCCGCAGGACTCAGCAGGTGCGAGGCTCACCTGCTCCTGTCCCCCTGATGACCTCAGCCCCTGCGCTGCACCCAGGGGGCCGGGGGGCAAGGCCCCAGGACCTTGGGCCGGCTTGTTACACATAGCAGGGCTCATGTGGACCGACGCGGCCTCAGTCCCAGAAGTGCCGAGAATAGCGCCCTCTCTTCTAAGCAACTTCTGCAATTCTGTATTTGGATATTTTTGAAGGAAGTTCTTTATTGTTATCTGGTAAGTCACTATCAAAAAAAAGGGGGAATGCCCATCCAGACCACACATCTACCAGTCTGACCAGAAGGGGCAGAGGACACCGGAACTTGGTGCAAGAAAGGCCAGGGCAAGCCCTCCAGGCCAGACCGGGGAGCGGGGCTGGCTGGCGACAGAATTAGCTAGCTCTTCAACAAGAAACTTACAAATATTTTGCATGTCTCCAAATTCAATACATGTAATGCAGACCTCCGGGGGGGCTGTGCTGTCTCCAGCCTCCAGTCTCTGCAAGAAACACCAACAGGTGGGGACAACGCAGACCGTGTCCCCGTGTCCCAGCATCCCCGCGTCTCTGCCAGCCACGGAAAGTTCCAAGTCGGTCTGCATAGCACCCCATGGGGTCCCTGCAGGTCAGCAGAGCCCAGAACCACCTGTGTAGAGGTCCCCACCCTTGCTTCCTTCCTCAGAAATGAGGGCAAAAAATTTCAGTGCAAATCCCCATTTTATGAGCTTGGGTTGCCTTGAATACCATCGCCCAGCTTCCAGGTAACTGCCCGCGAGGCAGAGCAAAAGATGAGAAAGTGCTTTGGGGTGACCCTGCAGCCCACACAGCGAGCGCAGCCAGGTCACATCTGGGTGGCGAGAGAGCGTCGCCCCGTGGGCAGAGGCTGGGCCCTGACTGTCACCGCTCCACGTGCACAGTGAAGTTCCTGCTGTTTTCCATCAGTTTCCACGGTTTATAACTGAATGTTGCCCCGACCAAGACAGAACAAACCAGGACACAGGAGAGCCCTCAGGTCGGCGCCTTCCCTCCCCACCAGCCGAGGGAATCAGTTTCCATGTTGGGCCCGTCCTGCCGAGGGCATGGCCAGCACCGGGAAGCCATGCCGGGGACGAGGACTGGAAGACCTGCCCGGCAAGGTGCGGCCGTGCGCAAGCCAGGCTTGAGATTCAGGGAAATCAGGAGACAGAAAGGTGGGTCTCCAGGAAATGCAAGCAGCCGGGCCCCCACGCAACCACACCTGCAGGAGGTGGGCGGAGCTTCGCGGGACAGGACCCTTGCCGGCCTGGGCCGGTTACCCCCCACCCCACGCCCCTGGGCTCTGCACAGTGAGCAGTGCGGGGCTGCTCAGAGCCAGGTCCAGGTGCTGGGCTCGGGGAGAGGAGCCCCGTGGAGGAAGGGGGACGGGGTGGGGGGACGCAGCGAGCAGCAGGGGGCCTTCTCCCTGCAGCCTTGCCTTTCCTGGGTGCCCCTCCATCACCTGGCTCCCCTCTCTACTCCAGACAGCTCGGGGCCCACCGAGGCCTCAGGCCAGGGGTGGGGGTCTCCGGGTAGAAGGACACCTGAGGAGAGCTCAGCAGCCTTCACTTTGGCTGCTCGGACGCTGCTGGCAGCTGCCAGCGTCCCAGGGGACACACTGACACACCCTCCCTCTCCACGTCCTAGCCACCATCTTCTGCCCTGGCCGCTCCTGCCAGCCTCCGCCTGGAGGGCCCCAGGTCCCAAATAAGTGCCACCTAACTTCCGCAGGTGACACCCCACTCTTGCCTCCAGACCTGACTGTCCCTGAAACCCAGAGCAGCATGTCCAGCTGCTGACCTCGGTCACCTTGGAGTGTCCAGCAAGCATCTCGGTCTGGCCAAACCCAGAAACTTTGGCCAGCTCAGAGCTGCTCTCCCATCCCGCTCACCGCACGGGTGACCTTTACCTGTTATGCTGCTCCAAGAGCGCGTCCTGGGTCCTACCTACAAAGCATCTCTTCAATCGGCTTCCTTCTCACCACCCCTCCTGCCCCTACCACCTCTTGCCTGACCTCCCTGTGTTCGTTCTGGTCCCCTGCACCCACACCAGTCTGACTCCATGGGGGACATCTCCTGAGAGCACACTTAGGATTATGTCACAAAGCAGTTCAAACATCTCCATGGCTCTCCATTATTCTCCACATAAAGTTCAAGATCTTGCTGTGTGCTGGGAGGGGCGTTGGCATAAGGAAGACATCCACCCGTCACTTTCGTCACCACCATCATC